CTCGCTTAAGATTCAAAAAGACGAACTCAAGGCATTATGGCTGAAGGTAATAGAATCATTCGATACATATTCTCGAAGTTTATCTGAGGACGAATCGGGCGCAGCAGCCATGTAGGTATCAGAATTGCTATGCAGCATATCTGACGTGATGGGAGAGACCATTCATAATCTCACATTCGTGCAACAGACCTCGTCGAAGGTAAATCCCATTCCAGGGAAATTGAACAGGCTCCGCGACTTAATATTAATCTACCCCCATGCGCTACTGAAATTTTTTATGGCGACTACATGGCAAGGCCATCTTTTCGCGACTTATTCACCGCAATCTATATAAACAATTCCCGACTAAGTCCAGTAGAGAAATCGTTTTATCTGAATTAGAAGATGCGTGGCGAAGCAAAATACATAGTTAAAAAATCGCCTTTAACTAATGAGGGTTTTCTTGCCGCGTGGCAAAATTTGTCGGAGAGGTACGAAAACAAACGCGTCATGGTTAGTAGCCAGCTGAAAAACGCTGTTTAACTTACCATCAGTGAGCGTCGAACGCAGGTCTGAGATCAAAAATTTACAACAATCGGTAAATATTTGTATCTCATTTCTGCGAATATATGGAATAGACATCGAGAACTGGGACGCGATATTTGTTTTCCTGGTATCAAGTAGACTGCCTGATACCACACTAGCGTTATGGTTACAAGGGATTCTTCAGAAAACGGAATTTCCGAGGTGGGAGGAACTGGATCGTATTTCTGACCAGTAGATTTCAGACACTGGAAACAGTATCTGACATACAAAGTTCCAGATCTTCGAGGCCTTTCCCTAGCAAAACCACTATACCACAGCCTAACAGAAGGATTGCTGCCCATCTTGGTCAATTTTCACAGACCTTTTTGCAGATTGTGTTCAGATCAAGCTCACGTTTTAAAGAGTTGTCCGAAATTTTTGACCATGAACGTGGATGATAAGGTAAAGGTCGTGAGAAAACATAATTTATGCATGAATTGCCTAGCACACTCCCATATGGCAAGGGACTGCAAAAGTCCATTTAAGGCCTGTTGATATGCTAGTGAGCGGAATAAGTTCGTCAGTAATGACTAAGAATCGAAAGGTCGCACATTTTGTGATAGGATCTCCTGTAAACCCCCCGTTTAGAATCGAGGCAAGAGGTCTGGTTCTACCCCAACTGACAGGAGACCTCCCCAAGTCTACAGTGAATCAATCACAAATTGATTCTCTGCCCCCACTTAAGTTAGCCGATGCCAACTGCTTCAAGAGTCAACAGGTCGATGTAATTATTGGTGCAGATTTGTATCCATCAGTGATCTTGGGAAACGTATAGGAAAATATTTTGGGCTCAATACTAGCACAGAAAACGGTTTTCGGATGGATTATGACTGGCCCTCTAATTCAACAACCTAATCAAGGACCGCATTATACGCCCTACTTCACGGAAGTGTCAGGAGAGCAATTGACGTGATTCTGGAAATTGGAGGATGTTCCAAATCGGAAAAAGCAGATGAATCAAGAGGAATCAATCTGCGAAAATCAATTCTGAAACACCACAGCGAGAGATGGAGAAGGACACTACGTGGTATCATTGCCATTCCGGCGGGAATTTCCGATCGATGTCAACCTGGAATATTCCCGCCACAGTGCAACCCAGCAGTTCATGAGTCATCACTACTAAGGAGGCCGGAACTGAAGGCAGAATATGACAAAGTACTGGAGGAATTTATAAAGCTTGGTTACATGGTAAGAGTTGAGAACTCAGGAGGTAGGTCTCATGATACATTTTACCTGCCTCACCTTACGGTCATCAAACCGGACAGCACAACCACTAAAGTGCGTTTGGTATTCAATGCCTCCTCACCATCATCTAATGGAGTAAGCCTAAACGATGTTCTCCATCCTGGACCAGTATTCCAAGCGGGTCTCGTTTGTCTGCTGCTGAAGTGGCGGTTTTTTAAATACGTCTTTAACGCAGACATCGAAAAAATGTACCGGCAAATACGGTTGCAGCCGGACAATACGCGTTATTAGAGAATCGCCTACAGAGAATCACAGAATGAAGAGTTAATGGACTACGAACTCCTAACCGTAACGTTCGGTGTAAATTTCGCTCCGTACTTGGCGATAAGAACGCTTCTCCACTTGGCGGATGATGTCAGCGCCCGCTGGCCACTTGCTTCCAAGGTATTGAAGCAGCGTACTTATGTGGATGATGTATTGGCAGGAGCTCATGACAGGGAAACAGTCATTCAAACTCGAGATGAACTGATAAAGGCGATCAAAGGAGCGGGATTCCCACTCAGGAAATGGACGTCAAATACTAAAAGCATTTTAGCTGGATTACCGAAGGAACATCTGCTGAAGAAAGAGTTTCTGGACATCGATGACTTGAGCGAGGCGAAGATGCTAGGTATAAGATGGAATGCAACTCAAGATGCCTTTTATTTCAACGTGCAACACATTCCTCCAAGAGGGAGGTACTATCATGTGTAGCCAAACTATTCGAGCCGGCCGGCGGGCTGCGTCCGATCGTAGTAAAGGCAAAAATACTCATGCAGGATATATGGCTGGCAAAAAGAGACTGGGACGACAGCCTACCCAGAAATCTCTACCTTCCTTTGGAACAACAACTTCACGAGAAGAATATTGCCTTTAATACGGAGTTGGAGCAAAAGACAACGCGAGTACATGCAACTAGCGTCCAAGACCACGAATATATTTAAGATAGGTTCTCAGATTTCTCTAGAGCACTACGTGTAGTAGCAAGAATTTTCAGGTTTTGTAAACGAGCGCACCGACGCACCAACAAAAAGTGAGGGAGAATCAAAACGAGTTAACCCCGGAAGAAATTTGAGGAGCCAAAGCACGACATATTATCCTAACGCAAAAAAACAGCTACTCGGATGATTACTAGGCTCTGAGCAAGTCAGCTCCCGTCAGCGCAAAAAGTGCTCTAAAAGCTTTAACCCCATTTCTCGATGAAAATGGGATTATGAGAGTTGGAGGAAGACTTGCGCTGTCGAATTCGTCTTATAGCGAACGTTTTCCTATCATTCTACCCTACAGTTGCCAATTCTCTAGACTGCTCGTAAAATTCTCCCATTTGATTTCCCTGCACGGAGGAAATCAATTAATGGTGAGACTGTTGAGATCAGAGTTTTGGATCGTCCGGATGGAAAATCTTGTAAAAAATATTGTTACAATTGTAAAGTTTGTATCATTTACAGGAAGAAAACGCGAGTACAAATAATGGCAGCCTTACCTCCAGAACGTACAGAGCTAACCAGACCATTCGCAAACACGGGCATCGATTTCACCGGCCCGTTCGACATTCGTAACTTCACCTGACGGTTTTGCAACAAAGGCTATCCACTTAGAGGCCACTAGCGATGTGTCTACTTCAATCTTCATAGCCGCCTTGAATCGATTCGTAGCTCGGCGCGGATGCCCACGCAATATAAATTCCGATAATGACACAAATTTCGTGGGTGCTAACAAAGTGATAAAGCAGGATTTTGAGAACTTCGTCAAATCGGCATCCTATCTGGCTATTCAATCCTTCGCCCACCAGGAGTTGAGCTGGCACTTCATACCTCCCGGTGACCCACATATGGCAGGATTATGGGAAGCCGGAGTAAAAAGCTTCAAAACACATTTCAGGAAGGTCTCGGAATCAATGCGCTTCACGATGGAGGAGTTTTCAACCCTGTTAGTCATAATCGAAGCTTGTCTAAACTCTAGACCGATTAGCCCGCTTTCAGACGACCCCGACGCAATGGCGGAACCGGAGACAGTCGGCAACCCGAAAGCAGAATACCTTAAGAATTGCAGAAACGCGTGAAATGGCAATCACCCCAACGAAACATCGAAGTGGATGACTTCGTATTTATAAAAGAGAATAACTCACCCTAAAACGAATGGCGGCTCGGCAGAGTCAGTTGGAGTTTTTTAGGTTCAGATAATCGAGTTCGAGTTGCAGAAGTCTGAACGGAACGCGGAATAATCACGAGGCCAATCGTGAAACTTGTTTATCTGCCAAGTGCAAAGTTTTAAGTAATTTATTTTCTCTCCAGAATTCCACTCAACAGTCAAAATGGTACGAGTACAACCAAAAAATCACCCAAATAAGGGGCGAGATGCCCCGTATGTAGTCATAACAACCGACTAGTATTTTGTCGTGAGCTGCGTCGCATGGAACCGGCCGAGAGACTACGAGCCGTCCTCGTGCACTACCATAGCGTGTTTATCTCCACATCACAAGGCGAAAACCTGTCCGTCATCCAAAAGCTGTGATTGGTGTCATTAGCCACACCACAGCCTATTGCATCTAGCGGAGCAAGGTTGGAATGGAGGAGGCGAATCAACTGTTCTGGACGATGACACCACCGCGCGGCGTAAACGACACCCTTACACAGCCAAGGCTTTAGAAGCAACAGTGATGACGGAGGGGTGCTCATCCTGGATGCAGATGAAACCGATCTTCATTCGCCAATGACTGAACCCACTGCCCTTGTGACGTCACCGAACCCCAGACATACTCTGTCGAGGATACGGTCGGCGGTACCGAAAGCACCGACCTTCTGTGGAAGGTATAAAAGGCAGATGTTGCCGTTTCAAACCTCTTTTTTTGTGAAATCACAGCAGCAGCAACATCAGGTAAGAATAAGTTTTTGAAAACCTCTTGTAATATGTACCGGTGCCCTTTTATTTAAATAAATCTATTTATATTTGAAACTAAAAGTTTTCCTTCTTTTCTTTACTTGGTGGAGAAGGTCTATTTATTTTTCAGCTTGAAGATTGCCTGAAGGTTCGGCCTTGTTTTACGATCCCCGTCTCCAGAACGTATATTCTTATGTGTACATTTTCTCGTATTATTTTCTTATATACACATATACATATATTCAAAGTATATATACATACAATATATGTATCTAAAAATCTAATTTTATTAAATATGTAAATTCGATGTTTGTTCTGTAGTATATATGTATGTATAATATATTTCTTGTTGCAAAGGCTTCAAACGTATAGGACTTTGTAAATGTTATTACTGCTTACTTAATTTCATATTATTTAGCCAATGGAATTAGGCTATTATTATTACGAGTGTCTTAAAATTACACTAATGTTCATTTGCAATTTAAACAGGAATTCAGTTGTTCACTTATTCACATCCAATTAGTTTTCTGTCTGTAAATAACCCACTATTCAAGATTTAGAAATAACAGTCGTTGATTAAGTGCTTTTGCCTAACATTGATGTTAGTATTTGATAAATAACTGAACAGAAAACATACAAAAATTGTGCAGAGAAATATCTCAAAGAGAAACACTACATGTTATACAGTGTTATGTTTCTGTCAGTGAGAAACTCTATAAAACAAAAGGTTAACAGTTATTTTCGATCCTTGAATATTTTACACTTATTTGATTTTGAAATAGAACTACTCAAAAACTTTAAGTCGGATGGACAAACGAAAGGTAGTTTTAGAATCTAAGCATATCCTCTTCACACCCATTGCCTGTGTCTGAAAACCTGAAATTTTCTCTCAATATTGATATCGTCTAGGTAGACGAACCAGCGGATACCGATATGTTCTCTAAACACATCTTCCAGAGTTCATTGAAATATTTCTGTAGCGTTGTGGTGGTCTTTTTAAAATCGAAAACCACACTGAACAGCATTGGTGAAGAAATATGTTGTTTTCCCAAGTTAGTTAAAGTAGTTGCAACATCCGAAATAAGATACCTATGGTTTTTTTATTTAGTTGACAATGATCTATTACCATAGAATATTTTTTCTCCCACAGGCGTCAAGCTTTTTATTACGATCCCTACTGGCGAATTCAATAGTTCATAAATTTGTTGGTCAGTTTCCTTGTTTAAAGGGTTGGGGAATATACTGGTTTTTGCGTTAATTGATCCATCTTTTTTTGTTAAATCTTTGTTTAGACAATTATAAGAAACGATAGTTTTTTATTGAATTCAAATTTTGGATTATCAAAATGTGGAATTTTTTCGTCGCCTATTTCATTAAAACATATCAATTGTGGCATGTTAAATCATTGTACCTGGAGCTCCAACTTAGTTAGCAAAAAAAGTTCGTTCTTAATGGAATTTCGAATGAAAGTCGTACTGACCTAAAATTTATTCAAAGCAGTTTCTAATAAATATTTTGATCCATTTCCATTTGTCATTTTGTAACCATATTTGGCAATGCTTGTTCATCTGAATGGTTTACTGCTCTATTTTCGTATATGTGGTCTTTTGGATTAATTCTGGCCCCGCAATATCTAACAGAGACGATGATGAATATGATTATGGTGGTGAAGAAGCAGTTTATATCTCTTAAATAAAATTTGAACCCCAATAAATGAAAATTGTTTGAAAGCCGATGTTGACTATATTTTTTTTCTTATGATATAGAAAACCAAATCATTCAAATAACTCTAAATGCATTATTTTTAAGTTCTTCATTATTAATTAGCTAAAAAAAATAAATTTTCCGTAATTAGAAGGTTTGTGGGAGTTTATCACCATTTTTAACACCATTTATCCCACTGTGTTTGCAAACCGGTCAAATGCATCGCGTGCTGCGCCCAATACCCGGACCAAAAATCGGACTATGATAGCAAATAGCTCACAGGTGATTTCGTGTTATATTTTTCACAATTTTTTTGAACATGAATTTCAAAACTTCATACACGCACAAGACAGAATTATTTCGTCGTTTTGATTTTTCTTAAACATGTTTATTTTAGAAAATTTTTATATGTATATGTACGTTTTTAAGTTTTGGTGTAAAATATTTATTTACTTCATGAATTATTCTTCTTTTTTCGTATGCACAGCTGTCCGCTATAATGGAGAATATACTCAAAATCGGGACTTTATCGCGTGATTAATAATGCCACTTGTATTTGACTTCTAATAAGATAATTAGAACTGTTCAGATAATAATAGTTAGAAATTATATATATACATAGTTAAGCACATTTCTCATAGTATACAAAGTAATTCTTGATAGAATGATTAATACAATAAATTCATATTTACATGAATTCATGACTTAACTATACTACTATAAACACATATTAGACTTTTAATAATATAATATATAAAAGATATATGTAATACTTAAGTTCATTCAGAGCGATGTTGTACTTAAATGCAATAGTTATTTAGGTCAAACTAACTGTAATCATACATATGTAGGTATGTCCGAATAATAATATGATAATGAGGTTAACCATAGTTAACTGTAAAACGCTATTGATTGCAAAGGCTACATTAGGTAGTACGTAATATTCTACAATTAATACATATATACAAAACATATACATATATATACAACTCATATTATTAGATATATATATATGTACATATTATATATATACAACATATAAATGAATATGTTATATTGATATACTAGTGACATATATACGTATATATATCGACTACATATGTTCGTGTGTAACTCTACTTCTAACGCCTCTCTCACATTTTCGCATCTTACAATCAGAGCTAGGAGCTCGAAGTGTGGGTGATGAATAAGTAAGCTTATTATTAAGGAGTAGTTATCGTTTAAGCACTTGAGTTGAATAAAAGGTCGTACATTGGAGTAAACCTAAACCTCGTGTATTTATTTCTTTTAGTGGCGCAGTCGGTAGAATCTGTGAAAAAGATCCTTAAAACGAACCTATGCACAAATGTTCTAACTACAAAGATTAAATATTAAAACATACAAAAACGTGAATTTAACAAAAAAAATATTATCAGAGATAAAAAACAAATATAATAATGGAAAAAGTGTTTTTTAACCTAATCTGTTAAACAAGTTTGAACTGACTTTCAAATGACCCTGATTTGAGTGCATCTTAGAAAGTAAGAGAAGAACTCATAGTTTAAACTTTAAAGAAAAATTTAAGAGTGACATTTCATTTAACAGTAGCACTAAGTGAAACAAATACAAATAGTGCAAGCAAAAACTGAAAACTAAATAAAAGCAACAAATGATTGTATAAACAACAACAACATTATTGCGTGCTAAGCTTTTGAACACTACAACACTAAGCAATCGGCATATCTGCATTGTTGTTTGTGTGCTGTATGTTTCATACGTGAGAAACACATTTAGTTTTGTCTGCATTTTGTTGTTACATATAACAAATATATATTCGATGTGATGAGAGATTTAAATACTCCACACTTTCCAATATAAAAAGAGAAATAGACGGACTTAAATAAAGAGTTAAAAAATTTAAATAAGTACTAAAAAAAATTAGACATTAACGTTGAAACAAAAACAAAAAAATAGCCGAAGCACAGCAAATAAGAGAGCTTGTGATGCAAAATATTAAATTCATTCAGCCTTTTGACGGTGATGCTAATTACTTAGCACTGTATATCGATAGAATTGATTCCATAATGCCTGTGGTTGCCCCAACGCAACCGGCTGAGCGAGCATTTTATTTCAACTGCATACTATGAACTTTACGATGGGCAGCGTTGGACGTCATAAGAAGGGAGCAGCGGTCAGATTGGTCCACACTAAGAGAACTTTTAGTTGATGAGTTTGGAGAACACACTCCATTCTCGACTCTTATTTTACAAGTTAGTACAATAGTATAGAATTTAAAGGTAGCGTACGTATTTTTTGTGAAGAAATAAATAACGCAATTTGTAGAATTAAGGATTGTATTAAATTAAAAAATTAAAATAGTGCAACTAAAACATTTTTGACAAATGAATTAGAACATTTAAGTATTAACTCTTAAACGTAAAATCTGCAGTTAAAATTAAAAAAAAAAATGATGCTTTTGATTATGAATATAAAAGAGATGCTAAAACTAACCCACGCGCTCCCCATTACCCTAATAATAACAAACTTAATAAAAGTGGATTTGATAAATATCATTTTTGTCTACCTGTAAATAACAACAACTTTCATACACAGGGAGTTCCATTTAGCAATACTAATTTATGTCAAAATCAGACCAGACAGGTGAATGTTAGCCAAACCAGTCAACAAAATCATTGTACCAACTCATTCAATGGTCCGATTACATATACCCCAGGCAATGCCCTGTAAGCAAGTTCATTACAAAGTCGAGTATCTCATCCCGTTGGTTCAAATCAATCAAGAATACGAAGATATGGTCAACCTGAGGCAATGAATCAAGATTAGAAGCCTCGATGGACTACCTTCGATTAAATTGACACCAAATAATAAAGAAATTAAATTTTTAACAGATACCGGTTCATCCGTAAGTTTAATTAAACCATGTATATGAAGTAATGAAGTTACAAAGGTAAAACCAATTATCTTAAAGACGGCAACAGGTTAAGTTGTTCTAGACAAAGTACAGGAAATAATTGCGTTTACTAAACATAATTTAAAATTCTATGTGCATGACTTTTCTGAAAGTTACGAAGGACTTTTGGGTTTTGATATACTTAAGAAACTGAACTCGAAAATTAATTTGCAAAATATGAATATTCATTTAAGCGGAAAGCAGTAATTTAAATGTTATGAATGATGACAAAGATAAAATTAGATATAGATTAAGCCACTTAAATATTGAGGAACTTAAAGAGGTCAAAGGCTTATTGGCAAAATTTAACCACAATTTTTTTAAGGAAGGAAATCAGCTAACTTTCACCCGCAAAATAAGACATGAAATCAAAACCGTGCACGAAGATCCTATCTAAGTAAAGTCTTACCGATATCCGGGAGTGCACAATGGCGAAAGTAGATAGATAAATTGCGGAAATGCTTGAGCTAAAGATTATTTGCCATAGCGATTCTCCGTACTCTGCCCCGCTATGGGTTGTGCCTAAGAAACCGGATCAATCAGGGAACGAAAAATGTAGAATAGTTTTCGACTTTCGTAAGTTTAACACAGTAAAGATAGACGATAGGTACCCGTTCCCGAACATGGATGAAATCTTGGACAAGCAAACCGCATTTTCTATACAAGGAGGGCATTACGAGTTCTTGCGTATGCCATTTGGGCTAAAAAATGCCCAAGCCATATTCCAAAGGCTGATGAACACAGTATTGGAAGGGTTAATTAGTAGAAATTGCATGGTGTATCTAGACGATATTGGGGTGTTTAGCACGTCACTTCAGGAGCATATCGAATCGCTCGATATAGTGTTCCAAAGACTGTCTAATTCTAATCTTAAAGTACAGCTTATTAAGTGTGAGTTTTTAAAACATGAAACAGAGTTTTTGGGGCACGTAGTAACCCCATCAGGCATTAAGCCAAACCCAAATAAAATTAAGGCGATTTTAGATTATCCCGTGCCTCAAACGGAAAAAGAGATTAAACAGTTTTAAGGTTTGGCGGGTTTTTATCGCTAATTCATAAAAAACTTTGCAAAAATTACCAAACCGCTAACAAACTGTTTAAAAAAAGGTAATATGGTAAACGCTCAAGACAAAGAATATTTAAATGCCGTTGATACCATTAAAATTTTGATAACTGAAGATCCTATATTAGTGTACCCCAATTACGAAAAGCCATTTACGTTAACTACAGACGCTTCTAACGTCGCCTTGGGAGCAGTGTTAAGCCAACAAAGTCACCCTATTTGCTTTGCGGGACGCGAATGAACATGAGCTTCACTACTCCACCACAGGAAAAGAGCTGTTAGCTATGGTTTGGGCCACTAAATAAATACTTGAGACCATATTTGTATGGTAGGAAATTTACCATCAACAGTGATCATAGACCACTTCAATGGTTGCATAACTTGAAGGAACCAAATGCAAAACTGCAAAGATGGAAGATACGCCTCTATGAGTATGATTTCGACGTGAAATACATCCCGGGTAGGGATACCGATGCGTTATCACGCACAGGAAGATGACGAAAGTTATATCCATATAACAGAAAGGCCGTTAAATTTATTTAAAAATCAGATAAAACTAATAAGTGGAAGTGAAAAGAGCTGTGAAACGCTCAAAATTTTTTACTAATAATCTTATTTTGATAACTTACAAGAAACTAACGCCAGAATACACAAAAGAAATGATTTAAACATATCTATTAAAGAAGAGAGCAGGTGTATATATGCCAAACGATAACGACTTTCTGCAGTTCCAAAAAATTTATAAAAGCTTGATAACTAGTAGCAGAAATAAAACTTATAGGGCAAATAAAGAAATAAAAAACATTTTAGAATATTCCGAATTCATATTCATTGTTACGGAAGTACATATATGTGGACTACATCAAGTTCAATAAAAAAGTAGCAAAATGTTGTAAAGACAATTATTATTATCCAAACTATGTCAAAGAAATTTAAAATATAATATTATTAATAGTTGCGAGCTTTGTAATCACTGTAAAAGTGACCAAATTGCAAACAAACAACCATTCAAGGTTGCGCCTCCGGTATATGAAAATAGAGAAAAATATGTTATAGACTTTTGAAAGTGGAACAATGAATTTTATTTGAGTTGTATTGATTTATTTCCAAAATTTGCTATGGTAGAGAACGTAAAATCATTAAATTGGCTTGAAAGTAAGAGAGCGCTATTAAAAGTATTTAATACTATGGGTCCCTCTAAGATTATGAAGGTTGACCAAGATCAAGGCCTAAATAACATAAAACTCAAACAGTGGTGTGATCAATTAAACATAGAAGTTGAAGTAACAACAGGCAAAACAGGCATAGGCGATATTGAGAGACGATTGTAGTAGTAGTAGTAGACGAAGTAGATTGTAGTGGAAGCTCACACAACAACTGTATACCATTTTCGAGAGATTTTCAGATTACTGAAGGCTTTAGGAGTTATATCATATAGTATACTGTTTTTGAAGGGAACCAATTTACGAACAAAAGCTTCAGTTGTAGCAGATACTTATTTGATTTCCTCTGAGGAAGTTAGAGAATCTAGTTTCGCTTACATATTACGTGGTCCGCAAGTGTTGCAAGTGACCGCTACTCATCCGCGGTACATGTATATACATACACTCTATATATATGGTGCTACTTTGCATTCCGTCGATTCCCTCTCCTTCGCTATTGACAATAGCAAGTAAGCAATAATATATGTATAAAGGAATACTCGTACATATGTGCATACTCATATACAATACAAAATAAGCTAAGCTAAGGTGGCCGGCAAATATCTCATCCACCCAGTATACATATAAAATTAATACACATTTACATTTCTTCATTGTCACGCGCTGTGTGCTAAGCAAAAAGCCACCCCAAATAAATTAAAATAAGATATAAAAAAAAAATAAAAAAACAAATTTTAGATATTATTGAAAGTTGATAAAAATAAATAAATATAATTATAAATTATAGAAGA